CCCCCCCTCCCACCACAATAGGCAATCGTACAAGGAATCAAGAGCCTGCACGAGCGGGTCCACGGGGTTGACGGCAAGATAGAGAGAGTAGAGAATGCCTTACTGGTGATGCAAGCTCAGGTCTCGCAAACGCAAGCAGTACGACCCCCCCTCCCACCACAAGAGGCAATCGTACCCCCAGCGATAGCCAACCGCGACAATAATCGAAAGGACCCGGCCAATGAGCAGTGCAAGTACTGCACGATAGTCGGGCATTTTGTCCGCGTGTGTCCCAGGGGCCACGAGGAACAGTGCAAGTACTGCACGATAGTCGGGCATTTTGTCCGCAGTGCAAGTACTTGCCTTAAACAGTGCTTTAGAACTTTGCGCGGGGAAATCCTGGGGCCACGAGGAGAGAGGGTAAACTGGAACTCGCCAGGAGGGATGCGCAGAGCAGTAATCGCACTTAACAACCTGGACGCAGCCGCGGTTGAGGCCGAACCAGTAGAGAAACTTACCTGGGGGCAGGCACCCGGGCGAGGGCACCAAGTTAACTTCATCACCGAGAGTGATGACCGCGACGGGGTTAATGTGACCACCAAACAACGAGGTGCCGCAAAAAAGGTAATTTAGGACGCGGTCATGGAAGACGCGCAGGAAGGGTCGAATCCGCCAGCAGAATCGGATCAGGACAAAGTTTACGGCAAGCCTGGGGAGGAGGCGCCGGTAGACAAAGTAACATCCGCAAAGAAGAAATTCAGGTACCGGATCCCTATCCTTGCCAATCCTGAGATAGACAACACCCTTAGCAATTTGCTGGGGACCATGGTATCAGTCTCCTTCAAGACCATGCTGCAGGCTAGTCGTAGACTACTAAAGGGCCTAAGACAACTGCTAACAAGGCAAAGGGTGGAAGTAGCGGAGGAACCGGATCTACGCGAAGAAGGCAAGGAAGAGGAACCACCACGGGAAGTGGCAAACCTTCAGAGGGTCCCCGGGGAATCAGGAAGACCTAGAGAAGGCCTTCGCAGACATTCGGTTAAGTCTGCCAGACCAGCAAGGCGGAGAAGTCATGAGGGCACCACCTGGTACGAAACTAAGTTTCCATGCGCTACCGGTAGGGAAACTGAAAGTCCAGATTGGCAGCCACCATACGGATGCACTGGTAGATGGTGGGGCAGAAATCACACTCATTCGCAAGGACTTTGCAACAATTGTTGGGTGTCCAATCAACCGCGAAGTCACGGGGAGCGTCCGGGGAGCAGGTGGGGAAATCCCCTTTTCTGGCTATGTTACCAAGTGCGCAGTTAAAGCCGGGATTAGAGAGTCTATATGGCCGTTCCAACGAATGATCGTCATGGACGAAATGGACCATGACGTGATCCTCGGGCGCCCGTGGTGTGCGAACGTAGAGATGATCGGGATGCATCTGCACGACGGTGCCTACATGGTAGACATAGAAGACCCGGTGACAGGGCGAGGCGAGCTGGTCCGCCTCATGGGAACCTGGGGAGACACACCGAAAGGGAAGCTCGCAACCTGGTCACCCTCCTTTGAGGAGAGCGCTAGAAAAGGGGCTTTCGCACGCATGGAAGGGATGAGAGAGAGGGTGGAGATTATGATCGAAGAGGCCTTTAGTAAAAAAGAATGGGTCAAGATGGGACTCCCGATGAAGAAACGTAGGTCAGACGAAGACGCCCTAGGAGTCATGGTAGTAGAGAAGGAAACAGAGGTGGAATTGGGAGCCAGTTTGCCCAAGCGCGAGGAGATCCGGGACAAGAAGGATAAGGTCATACTAGAAATCCCGGATTTACTGCAGCTTGTCAAAGCAATCAGGTACCACAAAATGGCCGTTGACCCGGCCGCCCTCGCCCGCTTTGAGGAGAAGGTCCAAAAAGGCTATTGCCTAAATGGGGAGCTGGTTAGTATTCAGCCCCGCATTGTGGAAGCCCCGCAAGCAACTCCGGCCGTTCATATTTTAGAAGAAAGATCCCGGAAGAAAGCGTTCGGAGGTATAAGCCTGTAGGAAAGAAGGCGAAGTCGGTCTCCATCCTACTGGAGATGACTAAGGAGGAGGCCATGGAAAAGGAGGAGGAGGTTCTTCGGGTAATTAGGGAGAGGATGGCGGAAGGACATAGGATACCGGATGAGGTGGCCCAAACCATGAAGATCGGAGTAAAGGGTTTTCTGACGGAGCAAGAAACACAGGCAATCAAAGAAGTATGCCAAAAATCTCACCTGGCATTCGCTTTCAATGACCATCAGAAAGGGCGCCTGGACGCTAAGTTGATCCCACCAGTCAGGATCGACACGGTCGAGCATGAGTGTTGGAATGACAAGGGACCGGCCTACGATTTTGGGATCGCAGGTGAAATGACAGAGCTCCTCAGGGCAAAAATGAACTCCTTCGTGGCAGAACCCACCGCATCTCCTCATGCCAACAAGTGGTTTGCATTCCGCAAGCCCAACGAGTCACTTAGGTGGATTCAGGACCTGCAAAAGTTAAATGCTGTCACCATCCGGGATGCGGGATCGTTGCCACAAGCAGATCTCCTGGCCGAATCCCATGCCGGACGCAGTATTTACTCTTTGATAGATCTGTACTCAGGATACGACCAGCTCCCGCTGGACACACGAGATAGGCCCTACACGGCTATGCATACGCCAGTAGGACAGTTGCAGATGCAGGTTACGCCTATGGGATTTACTAATGCGGTAGCAGAGGCACAAAGGAGGATGCTTGCGGTGGCCGGGAACATGTTCCCAGACAAATGTGAGCCCTACATTGACGACAACCCTGTCAAAGGAGCACGGGAGAAGGATGAGACCGAAGTTCAGCCAGGGATAAGAAAGTTTGTTTGGGACCACCTGTAGGATATTAGAGAGCTGCTGCGAAGATTCCTATAATACAAAATAAATGCTAGCGGTCCGAAGAGTATCTTGGCAGTTCCAGAAGTCACAATTTTGGGATTTCGTTGTGGGGCCTATGGAAGGAAGCCGGATCCGGCTAAGACCGATAAAATAGCACAGTGGCTTACGCCTCTTGGAAATACAACAGAAGTCAGGGCATTTCTGGGGGTGGTAGGCTTTTGGAGAATCTTCATAAAAGGGTTCGCAAAGATAGCGGAACCAATTCGAGCTATGATCCGTGAAGAAGGCACGCTCGATTGGACTGAGGAAAGGGAATCGGCCGTCCAGACTCTGAAAAATATTCTCACATCCGAAGAAGTCACCCTTGCCGCTCCGTGTTTTAACGGTCAGGTCGGTCGACCATTCATCCTTGAGACGGATGGAGGACCAATGGCAGTCGGCGGGGTGCTAATTCAAAAAGGCGAAGATGGTAGAGAGCGACCGATCAGATTTGAGAGTAGGACGCACAATTCGGCTGAGCGGCGCTACTCTCAGTTAAAGAAGGAGGTACTTGCGATACGGCATTGCCTCAAGACCTTTCAGGCTTATCTCTTCGGGAGGAGGTTTACCTTGAGGATAGACCCAACCAATGCCGCCGGGGCCCTGAAGAACTATAAGCCTATAGATCCGACTGTTGGAAGATGGGTAGGATTTATTTGGCAGTTCGACTACAAGATTGAGCGCATAGCCGACCTTAGGAATCGTGCAGATGGACTAAGCAGGGTGGTCCTCACACCTGAAGGGCTAGAAGAGGAAGAACCGATCGACGCGTTCCTTGACTACGAGGGTGGGACGCTGGTAGTAGACAGCGAAATGGCCGCGACCACTTGCACAACTGGGGAGCTATTGATCAAAGCTCTCGAAAAGGGACCTCCGACAGTGGTTGCCAAGTTAAGGGTAGGTACAGTCACCAGAGTTGGAAGGAGGGAAGAAAAGGACGCCTGGGGCAGCGTTGTGAAACCCCGGGATGAACAAATCGCACTAGCCATTGAGGGAGGTTGGAGAAGGGTTACGAGCATGATGGAATCTCAGGAGCGGGAGAGGCAGCACTATCAGGCCTACCAGGTGGATAATAATCAGACGGGTACTCAGGAAGAAGAGCAGTTCTTCCTCATCAAGTCATATGAAGGTTTGTTCAGGGAAATTGGGTTGCTACTAGTGGGGAACAAGGAGCCCCACGAGGTTAGCCCTAAAGCTAGGGAGGAAGCGGATAGGTGCGTGCTTAGAAGGGGGAACCTATTCCGAAAGGAGGAAGGTCTGACACCCAAGAGAGTAGTCTGTGGAAGGATGCGACAGCTCGACATTATTCAGGCCATGCATGACGGATTGGCCGGTGGCCGCCGCTCATCCAAAGGGACCCTAGCCAAGATAACGCCGCTCTATTATTGGCCAGGAATGGCATCTGTGGTAGTCACATACTGCCAGACCTGCAAAATCTGCCAGGAACGAAGCACGACCCGCATTTTCGAGCCACTTAGACCCACCCGCGTGCTGGGACCAGGGCATATGGTACATCTTGACCTGGCAGTCGTGCCCGTTTCCAGAAAAAGGGTACAAGTACATACGCGACGCAAGGGATAACCTTAGTGGGTTTGTCGAGGCAACCTCGCTCAAGAAGAAAACTGGGTTTGCAGTGGCAGACTAGGTGGAGGACTTTTATCTGAGGCACCCGTTCATCAGGAGATTCATAGCCGACAATGGAACTGAGTTTGTGAACCAGGACGTCCTGAATACCTGCAAGAGGCTTGGCGTACCGATCAAATTGACAAAACCATACCACCCTGAGGCCAATGCGTCAGTCGAGCGAGGGCACCAAATGCTTAAAAACACGATTGCAAAGTTGGCAGCAGATGACCTTGGGAACTGGCCGGACTATCTCAGACACGCAGTATTTGCCGAGAATATGACAACAAAAAGGACGACGGGATGCATCCCGACAGAACTATGGTATGGCAGGGAGATTGACTTTCCGGTAGAAGCTCTAGTACCCACCTGGAACAAATTGGAAGATGACCCTCATCTGACTACGAGACAATTGATTGAGGCAAGGTGTGAACGAGCGGCCAGGAACAAGGAGGCCTTGGAAGAAATAACTCACAAAGTACTAGACAGTCGCATGAAGGACAAAACCAGGTGGGACCAGTTGAAGAACATCCGGAAGGAGCCTCTTCAGATCGGGGAGATGGTCCTAGTCAGAAATTCGGCAGTAGAAACTACCTGGTCAGGCCAGTTGGGGCGGCGATTCAAGGGACCCTACCGCATTGCAAGAAAGATGGGTGTGAACACGTTTGAGATTGAGAACCTGGATGGGATAACTATAAGGGGGCCAGTCCCTGCGCAACGACTGGTCAGGTTTCTCACTAGGGATCCGGTGGAACAATGGCTGCAAGAAGCCTAGGATAAGGAGGCGGAAGACTAAGGCCGCTCAGGACAGTGGCAAGAGGCCTATTTATCGCTTGTGCCTCTAGTTGTTGTCTTTTGTTTTTGTGTTTTCTTTCCTTTTGACGGCCTGGGTGTGCACAAGTCGCATGGGAAAATATGCGATTCGACGGGGTTTTTTTGTATCATAGATTTTGTGGGATACTGGGATGAGCAATGGGGGATGGGACATTGTACCATAAGACATGGCATTGGAGGGGCGTTGGGAAAAGGGGGCGAGGCGGTCGGCTGTTCCTCCTTTTCCTTTCTTCTGCATACCTTTCTGTTTCCAAGAGAGCAACCGGGATTGGGAGACACGTGTGGGCAGAGCCTGGGATGAGTGCCGCAAGGGAATGGGTTGGGGCTTTTCTCCTGTCTTGTGTCTTGCCTTTCAGGTATAGTAGACAGGCGGACCAAGATGGCATCCAACAACGAGAACGACATTAATCAAGCAAACATCAATAATGATGATCCATGGCCGCAACTAGAGAGGCCACAAAACAGAAACAGACCGGTGCTCGTGATAGGACCGCAACCCCGGCCCCCTGTGAGGACGGGAAAAAGGAAGATGCGAGCCTGTAGACCCTCTCCACCAAAAGAAGGCGATGTGCTCCCAGCCTGGTCAGAGGACGAAAGTGAGCAAGAACGGGAGCAAAGGAGGGAAGAAATAGGGACAGAGGATCAGCACAAGGAAGAATCTGGGTAGGGAAGCCGGAAAGACGTTAAGGGATCCACAAAAGATGACAGTGAGGCAGGGGAGGACATTCCGGAGGTGGTAATTGTAAGTAGCGATGACGAGGTGGATAGGGTATCAAGGCCCTGGCCGGAAGGACATGCATCAACAAGCAGGGCCTCAGAGGAGGTCCATGACTGGGAGAAGGTATTCGGCCCCACACCCAGTCATTGGTTCGAAGTGTGGGCCAACATTTTCAGACATGACTGAATTATTATAGCCCGTAGCCTCATGGCGGCTGAGGAGAAGGTCACGCCAACGGACTTTTTCTCAAAAGAAGCATTACATAATATGAAGGCAACACTGGACGAGATACGGACCTACGGGCTGGGGGTGGCGCCGCCACCAAAAGACAGAGGAGGGCAGGGGCGCTAAGCGCCAAAGAACGGACCAGGATACGGGGAATTGAGGGTTGGCAAACTGGGGTTGGATGGCACGGTTGGATGTAAAATAGGGGCGCCAAGACTCGGCAAACCAATCAGGGAGAAAGGCGGGGGTGGTATTTTGTTATGTGGCTTCCTAGAAACAGAATTAGTCAAGGCAAGGATGTGAGACTTTGGGTGAAACAATGCCTGCTGACCTGAAACTTGCCAAACGACATGAGGGCAAGCTGGGAAATGCAGAGAGAGACAACATTTTTAGTATCAGCTACTTTTTCTAAGTTTGGCAAAGACGAAGGAGAGTGTGATTGGGGATTCAGACATATGGGGTTCTCTCTTTGCTATTTAAACAATCTGAGATTCGGTTTCTGTTTTCTCAACAAATCGTGATACTGGTTGGATTGGAAGGACTTGGGTCTGGCTACAGACACAATGAGTCTCTCAGAATGTACGGTCACATGTGTGAATGATGATGGTGTCCTGTTAAGAGAGGTTAGGGAACCTACTGGTAGAACGGCACGACAATTCTTTCCCCTAGGAGCCTAATCCGACGGAGTCCAGTCCTCAACATCAATATGCATGAGACCCGCAGCTATGGTTAAACGACCAGGCAGGCTAGCATTGCCAAAAGCTCGGTGAATTCGCCGCGAGCTAGACGCTATGTCGGATGTATGAGAAAGCTAAAGAAAAGTGGAGCGACAAAATGCATAGCACGCTAAAACTAATGGCCACTACCTACCCCCCCAACTGACAATCGGATCCGAGCCTCCCTCAGCCCACCCCCTCGGGCGCTTGTATTGAGAAGGGAATGGAAATGGGAATGACCCTAACCAGGCTATTCAGGTGTGAGTATGGAATGGAAATAGGAATGGCCCTAACCAGGCTTTTCAAAGCTCGAGATTGGAAAACAAGAACGATCCTAACCAGGTTGTTCGGAATGGCCCCTGACAAGGGTCAATCTTTGGAATTGGCACTGGGGTCCCCTTGCATGGCTGATTGAGATGCATGATATCGGTAGAGTTGAGCCTTGAAAAAGTTATTGGACTCAGCCTTGGAAAGGATATTGGACTCAGCCTTGGAAAGGATATTGGACTCGGCCCTTGGAAAGGATATTGGACTCAGCCTTGGAAAAGATATTGGACTCAGCCTTGGAAGAGATATTGCATTGAGCACTGGACTGAGATTGAGCATGGGAATGAGACTGAGCTTTGGAATTGGATTGAGTATTGGAAATTGCATTGCATAAACAGGGGAACCTAGGCAACTTGAAATGGATTTGGAAATGGCATTGAAATGGATTTCTCTTTCCTTCTAGTCCTTGGCCTCAACGAGAGGGGGGATACCGGCGCACGCATCGCGACCCCAAGACCTCTATCCCTTTGAGGGAAAAAGTCTGAGCGCGACCTGCTCCTCCCTTAAGAGGATAAGGGTTAAAGGACTAAGGCACCTACCACTTGGATCGGTGCGGGACGTCCTGAACTGACCCTGACAATGAGCTCTAGTCGGGGAGTTCAAACTGCGCCTCCTGTTGAATGCCTAAACGTCAAAGGGCGAGAGAGCCAAATGGGCAAGGAAGCGATTCTCATCTAGTCTATTTTGTCCTCTCCAACCACACGCCATGTCATAGAGGAGTGCCATGGCCGTTTGGGTCGGACCTCGGCTGCCCGCACTAAGTTGGGAAGCACTGTCCAAGGGGAGGGGCTTGGCGGAGTACCGGGTGGAGTCCGCGGCCACCACGGGGCATTGACACTGCCCTGCCGGAGCATTACAACCGCTTCGGAACTAACTGCGAGGTCTTCGTAACTGCACTCGCGGACTGATCGAGAGCCCCAACTCTCTTGAAAGGAAAAGGCCGGAATTCAGAAAATCACCACTCAGGAGGAACGATTCGCGAGGAACACTCTTATGGCTAGACGAGACCCTGGTAGGCTTGGATTGGACCTACCCGACAGACGTAAGAAGAAACCTTGGTATTGGTGCTCGCCACGTAAGAGAAGAAAGGTCGGACCGGGTAGAAGGACGAGGCGTCGTCCGCTGGGGAAGAACTGATCACTCTTCCTTTTGTGTAGCAGGCGGGCTTATGTCCTTGATTTGCGGTCGACGGGCCAAAGGTCTGCGTACCTTCGAGTGAGAACTAGTCGCGCGATGGGGACATCGCGTTTTGAGTGGGGGAAAGGTGTGCCATCTACCAATGAATACGCATGAAAATAAGACTTGTAATTGATTTTGCATGGGCATGGAAAAAAAGGGGGCCTGTCAAAATGACCGGAACAGAAAAAGATTGTAATTGACCTTGTATAGGCCTGAGAAAAGGGGGCCTGGCAGGGCGCCAATGCAGAAAAGACTTGAGCAAGGGACAAGGTATGAACCGGAACTGGCAGGCTGAGAGTTGGTTGTGTAATCGGCTCGTATAAGCTTGAAAAGATGGGAAGTGGCAAAGGGATGAACCAAACATTGCACATGAAGAGCCAATTAAGAAAAGGGCAAGAAAGGGCAGAGGGTGATATGCATGCGGAATTGGCAGGACCTGAAAAAGGCCGGGAGGAATGACCCGGAGAGAATGCATGTGGATCTGACTATGTCTGAGCTTCGGAAAAA